AGTAGACACGGACGCCCGGCACAAGTAGACACGGACGCCCGGCACAAGTAGATACTCGTTATCCCCAATGGGCAAGTTGTCAAATTGTATATTTTTTTTCGTTTAACTTGTAAAATTTCCGGATAATTTTGTAAATTTCCCATTTAATAAAATAAATGGCAGCCAGCGCCCCTAAACCCTGGCATTAAGCATCATGGTTAATTTTTCTCATGGTACTCTTATTTCAGACCCCCGGGTAGAGGACAAACTATTTAGATTTAAAGGTCAATGTATGATACGACCAACATAAGATGGGCAGTGCACGTTTAGAATCCCTGAGGATCTGGGCTACAGATCAGCCGTGGTGCAATGCTTTACTAATTGGATATGCGTATTACAATATCTGTGGTCACAGTATCCTTATGGGGCATGAAATAACAAGCAGCTGTGTGTGTCAGGAGACTTAACTTTTGAGTATGTGTGTGTGCAACGGCTGCTGGGAGGTTTATTAACCCAGTCTATCAAGGCTGAGTGGGATTCACACCGAGACGCTGAAGGCTTAAGGATGCGAGTGCCACACAAGCAAGACAATACCTCCCCAAAATACTAATATGGGGCCTTGTTTTCAACCACACCATAGACCTCCTCTCCGCAAGCAGAGAGGAGACATTTTGCCAGGACTGTCTGCTGGTGAACTGATGTTTTCATTTGAACTGCTGTGCTGTTTAGCTGTTTTAAACAGCGGCCCCGATTGCTTCATGATGACCTACACCAATGAGATGCAGCTCTAGTCGGGTTTCTCTGGCTCGATGTAAAGACTTGGAGTCAATAAAGGAGCGATTGTTAAAAGCTATGGTAAATGATAATATGGTAAACTGATGCAGCCCGGTCACAGTCAGTTTAGATGAATGCTATTTGCTACAGATATATTTTTTAGTTTATCCAATTCAATTCAGTTTATTTCTCACACCAATTCACAACACATGTCATCTCAAGTTACTTTACAGTTCACCAGAACACCCTGTCAAATTGATTCAAAGTTTTCTATCCAAAACAAAAAAAAGACAGTTGATTGCATCGACCAATAGACTCGGACGCAATCCCTCCCACTAAGTATGCTTATAGTGACAGTGGAGAGGAAAACCTCCCTTTGAACAGGATGAAACCTCCATTAGAACCAGGCTCAGTGTGAGCGGCCATCTGCTGAGGCCGACTGGGTTTCAAAGAGACATAAGCAGAGATACAAAAGGTAACTGTAAAAGGCTGCCCAGTCCAGGAAACACACAGCCAGCTCCAATATCAGAGGATGAAGGGAGCACATTCTCAGTCAGAGAAACAGGACTACACTGAAAAACGATCTCCAACATCATTAAACAAAGGTGTTGATGGCAGCAGCACAGCTTTTCCACATGAACAGATGCTTTCCATTTTAAACTGAGACTTTAAGCTAAGGACAAACCAACCGAACGGCAAATACAAAAACATTTTCACTATTTTTTTAATGCACAACTGAAAAGGGGGGAAAGATTTCAAATGTCTACATGGTTGCAGGCATTAGATAGGCAGGAATTTAGAGTGATCTGATACTAATACTGGGTCTGAATTACACAAGACAACTTTTTGCTCTTATTAACTCAATACTATACATTCTAAGTAATCCCAAAGTTTCAGCTTGTTTTAAAGATTTAAATATTAATCTTTGGTGAGGATGTAGAAAAGAACCCAACTCAGACTCCCAAACAAAAAGTATTTGCCTTGGAAAGAGAATCAGATTTAATGGAGGGACACCCTGTCACCTACTCTTATAGGGGGAGCATCAATGCTAAAACACCAGAAATATGCAAAGACAAATATTCTTGATGGTGTCAATGAAACCAAAATGGAAAACTCTCCCTGTGGTTTAAATTTAGAGGCATCCCCTTCTACACAATGTAAACCTACACCTGTCACCTTTAGAAATTGTTAATACCAACTGGACGATCCGTCTTGGAAATGCTTTTTAGCCATTCAACATGTCACCACATTCCGACCAGGAGCCCTTTTTAGCACCGACCACAATGGAGGAGCTGATGGTGCATCGGAGAGTGTTAAAACATTCCAAGCTCACCTAAAGCCTTCTGTTTTATTGATGATGTGTGGCCTGCAGGGAGTGATTAAAGCAACGCTACACAGTAAGGCCTAAGCTATGCTAAGGACATTGTTTATTTACACAGTGACTTCCTCTGTGAGAAAGAATAAAAAAAAGTGCTTTAAATGAAAACTTCTAAAGAGGTTCTAATGTGAGCAAAACACAGATCCCACTACCATTTTATTCTTATTTTTCTTTTTAATTTTATGAATAAATAGGCCTTAAATACAAAATAATCAAATTATATAATATAATATATATATATATATATATATATATATATATATATATATATAATCATTATTAGAGGAAAAGTCCGGTCATATTCAGAATTCAAACTTCTGAAATGTACTTTAAATATAAAATTATTACATATTACATGTTTTCTTAGCCAAAACAAGCCTTTCTTGGGCTACTGTTTAAAACCTGGAACTCAACGCTATTTCTGACATTCTGAATTAAAAAAGCTTCCTTGATGGAAAGAGAAATGTCTTCAAACTTGGAAACAAAGTCCAGTGGATTGTTTTTAATTTTTTTTGGACGACTATGACCTGGATGACAAGGAATCTTAAGCCGAAGATCATCATGTGTTTAATTTAGAGATAATAATATTTTTAGTTAATATGAGTGTTTTTTTGTGCTGAGCAGCAATGCCTTCAGATCATGTTCATTGCTTCTCCATCTATCTAATTCACTGATTAAGTTTTCTTTCTGTTTAAACTGAGACTTGTGTTACAGTTCGGTCTAAAACAATTGCTTGGATAGAAGTCAACTAATAAATTAATCATCCACGACTAGATTGGTAGTGCACAGACTAAAATATACCATTTGCTGAAAATATAACCCACTGTCAAAAAAGGGCTTTAGTAGGGCCCTATAAAATCCGTTTTATTTTTTCCCAAATTCCGTTTTTTCTGTTTTAATTTTTGAAAATTCATTTTTTTCCTTTTAATGTATGTATTTTTGCGCTTCCAATCACTGGAATGTTGACAAAACTTGCAAAACAATAGTTCACCTGACACGTAAAAGTCAAGAGGGAACTGCTCGACTCTGTACTCAGGGCTTAGCGTCGTGTTTCTCAACTTTTTTGCCGAAAGCGGAGCTGTGGAGAGCCGCTTCGCCATTTTTTCAATGTTTTGATGGGGGAGGGTGAGCGGAAATGACGGAGCGGGAGGGGTTGTGTCGCCCAGATTTGCGTCCCCCGATGTGCATTTCCCCCCTGACCTACATTCTTCTCCCACACAAAAACAGAATTTCATTTCAAATGTAGAAATTCCACGTTTACACTAGATTCCGCGTTGCCAATTCCGTGATTCCGTCCGCGATTCCGTGATCGCGGAAATTATAGGGCCCTACTTTATTTTTCCAGATGGACCAACCAGAGGCCAAAACCTCACACTGATTTTCCTCCTTAAGGTGTCATAAAATAAATGCTACAAAATAAATTAAATCATCTTACATAGACACTTTTTTTTGCACGTCCGGTTCCAAAAAAGTTTAAAAAGACAATCCACTGGACTTTGTTTCCGAGTTTAAAGACGTTTCTCTTCCCATCCAGGAAGATTCTTCAATTCAAAACATCAGAAATAGGGTTGAGTTGCTTGTCTGCTTGCTTTACCGCAGAGTCTTGTCCCGAGGAGGTCGCTCTTCTGTGTTGGGCCCTCCTCGGGAAAGACTCTGCGGCCCATCTACACCTTGTGGACAAAGTACATTCTTTTGAGGACCAAAATGTTCACACTTTGGACAAAGAAAATAGGTGGTTTGAAAGGGGCGTGAAGGAAGCCATCTAGAAAAATACCGACCTTAAACAGAGGGGGTTGATTTCAGCTTTCAAAAACATATAATGCAACAATTTAGTTGATCCCTCCCCTCTATAATTGCAACCTCCACCCCCTTTACAGAGGAACAAACGACCTTGTCTGTTCAGGCAGGCCAACAATTCCCTTTAATGACCCCCTTTCAGAGACATAGACAGGTATGGGGCATTGCAGGCTAACAAAGAAGCCAAACGACCCCCATTTCAAAGGGGTGGACCCCTTCGTCTGTTTCAATTTGCATGTTTTCTAAGCCAAATCAAGGCTTTGTTGGGCTACTGTATACAGCCTTGAACTCAACGCTATTTCTGACATTTTGAATTGAAAAAGCTTCCTGGGTGGGAAGCAAAACATCTTCAAACTTGGAAACAAAGTCCAGTGGATTATTTTTTAACTTTTTTGGAATGGCTGGGACTTGGATGACTGAGAATCTTCATCGGCATTAATAATTTATGTGTGTTACAGACCCTGGTTACGTGTACTGACAATAAAGTAGTGAATCTCAATCTATTTATTTATTTTTATTTTACATATTGTATTTCGAATAATTGATCTTTTGTCCAAAAAATTTAATTTCACAGCACCCCCTGATCAAAACTACTTCCAGCAGCCCTGCCCAACAGGTACAGCCAGTGTAACATTGGGTATCATTGAGACTGAGGCTAAAATAACGGCTGTTTTTCTTCTCCTTAGAAAATCTGTTGGTGGATTTCTAGCTGAAATCAGTGAAAGTTTTTAGTGAAACAAACTAATTTCAACACTAGTTCAGAGTTACTGGTTAAAATTCAAAAGTTGGATTATTGTGGGAATTTTAATTTATTTTTTTCCTGTTATCAACATAAATTACAAGTAAAGTCCAACAAATCCTTTGTTTATATTTAATTCATAGCTTTCAACAGACATTGGAGAGCAGGGTCCCTGAAGATGGTTTTTATGAATCCTTATATTAAGATGAATGACATTAAAACGCCTGAGCTGCTAATTCCTGGGAATAGATCTGGGTGTGAAAGTCAAAGCTGTGAGAAAACGCTGCCTTCTCAGGTGTTTCCCCAGGCTAACCTCCACCTCTTCTCCTATCAGGGTCAGGATGTTGTGTTCATGTTTATCCACGCTTCCTGTCAGCACATCTAAATCCCCCCTGGAGCCTTCAACCCTCTGTAGCATCAAACCTCTAAGCCGTCTCAGTGCCTGGAAGCCAGCGCGTCCCGCCCCGCCCCCAGCTGAACACACAGCCTCCAACCAGGATGATTAATGGCCCTCTGCTCAGACTCTCCATCCACTCAGCACATTGCTGAGAGCCTCTCAAACTGGACGACACTTGCATCTCCTCTTCACACAGGACTTAAGCCCTGCCTGTCAGTCCCTGGTTAGGGAGCCGTTAACTGAGCAGATTTATAGCGACTAACCAGCACTAGGTGGCATCCAGTCTGAACAACTGCTTTGCCAAATGCTGTCAAATACCTGCCAAATGCATGCAGCGAACACAGAGGCTGCTTGGCTTTTCTCAGATTGTGGCTTTTAGCTGAGAAACATTAATCAAAAACTGATCAAAGAAAGAGTTTAATAAATGGAATTGACCACAATTGGAGCAGATAAATCAGATAACCTGCCAATGGAGTCAATATTTTTGCCCTAAAACTAGGGCTGCAAATA